GACAACGCAGAGATGAGCAGTGAAGCTCTAAAGTCAGGTCTAATTGAGAAAAGAGTTCAGAAAAGCCTGAGTGGAGTTTGCTTCAACAAGAGAGTTGGAGGACCTCCCTGGTGGTGCAAGGGGTTAAGACACATCACTATGAAGATATCTGCAGCCTCTGCAGCATGAGTTCTATCCCTGGCCAGGGAGCTGACCCACATGGTGCAGCAGACCTCTCCTGTCTCGCCTGCTGCTCCCCTTAGCAGTGTATTTCAGTCAGTCTGCCTGTTCTGCTCCCCACTCTGTCTCTGGTGAATCCTCTCACCTCCCACACCTCTGGCCTGTACCCCAGTTCTTGTACACATAAAAAAATAAATCTTAAAAAAAAGAGAGTCTTTGTCAATATTCAAACCCAAAATTTGACACAAAATGTCTGAAGCTAATAGTTTCATAACTGGAGTCATATCCCCTGAGTCCTTTCGTTATGAAATCTGTTTATTAAGGTGCCTGTTGGATTCATACAAAGATCTATTAGATAAAATCCTGGAAGCACAGGCAAGATCTAGCTAATACTTTTTAAAATATTAATACTTAAGCAAATAAACTTAGTGTTTTGGGACAATTACAAAAACAGAATACAATTGTAATGGAAATGGAGAGAAATTTGGACCATTGGAACACTGGAAATCATTTTATACTTGAAGAAAAATTCACCACAAAGATCTCAGAAGCTCTTGGTGATTAAACAACTTCACAACTAGCTACAAATTGACTTCGAGTTAGCACCACTAGTTTGGCATGTCTGGCCTGTAGTTATAATATTATAACTCCTGATATGGATTGAGGTGAAAAAGGGCTAATAGGTGGGTTTGTCCTCAAAGACATCAAACAACTAGAACCATGGAAATTGAATCTGTGTTCTTCCAAGGTGCGTCATCAAAGCTTTGATTCTAGATAATGGCCATGGATTTTTACGTGTTACATCTTGGAAATATTATGGAGGATGCTTGAACAATATGCTGAAGGGCCTAAATAATCATGTAAGTCTGAGCAGTATGGTTAATGGGAACTCAGGAGAAATGTTTTGGGCCTTACAAGAAAAAGGCCCAGATGATCAGCCCCAGCATTAGGCTACTCCTTAGACTTAAACTGGGTAAGACTTTGTGAGCAACTACCAAATAGTACCCAAATAGTTAATCATGTAAAAGTGCAAGCAATCAAGACAACACATGGTTTGAAATTTAATGTTGCCAAGGAGAATGTTTGTGCATTGCGAATTGATTGGTTCAGGACATGCATCCCCAAAATATGGCACCTTGGCCAATTGAATATTTTAAGCTAAAGGAATCTGAGAAATGGTAGGGTGAGGGAAAACTTTCTGACCTCCTGAAACAGATCATAAAACTCTCATGAGAGACACCCTCCCTACACCCAGGGAGTATCCTTCTTTCCAAGGATGGAGACACAACCAGAGAAATCTGAACAAACAGACATTGCTTAGTTTCCCCTTTTACTGCCCTGAGCTCATACTCCTCTGGTTTGATCACTTCCCATGCTTCATCAAATCTGTAATAGCATAAAAACATTCAGACATAACCACTTCTTCAGTCTCCTAATGGAGGCTCTTATGTCACATAAAACTTATATTAAATAAATGTGTCTTTTTTTCTCTTGTTAATCTGTTTTTTGTTACAGGAGCCCCAGCCAAGAATGTAGAAGGGTGTTAAAAAACAAAATTTAACTGAGTAAATTTTAAAGATCTTATTGGCTCTATTCAATGATTCTTGAATTGGGCAGCATCAATCTAGCAGACAGAGAGAAATTCTCAGGCGCTATACAAAATGAAAGCCAGGAGGGAGCAAGATAAAGGTGAAAAGGCAGGTCAGTTATGGGAAGGTTGCTGTCTTTGGGGGAATGCAGGGGGTCTAGTAGGCAGAGTCCTAACTAGTGCTGGTCAGCGATTGCTGATTGGCTGCTTTAAATCCTGTTTCTCAGGGCCTCCCTGGTGGCACAAGGGGTTAAGTCTCAGCACTATGAAGCTATTAGCAGTCACTGCAGCACAAGTTTGGTGTCTGGCCAGGAAGCTGACCCACATGGTGAAGCAGACCTCTCCTGTCTCACCTGATGCTCCCCTCAACAGTGTATCTCAGTAGATCTGCCTGTTCTGTTCCCCACTCTGTCTCTGGTGAACACTGCACCTCTGGTCTACACTCCATCTCTTGTATGCATAAATAAATCTTTAAAAAAAAAGTATTCTGGGGCCTCCCTGGTGGCGCAGCGGTTGAGCGCTGGGTTGCGAAGCTGCCCGCGAACTCTGCGGCGCCAGTTCGATCCCTGGCTGCTCCCTGGCCACTGGAGGAGGGTCCCACATGGCGCGCAGACCTCTCCTACCGCCCGCTGCTCCCCTCAGCAGTGTGCTTCCGTCCTTCTGCCTGCTCTGCTCCCCGCTCTGGCTCTGGTGAATTCTCTCACCCTCCCGCGCTTCTGACTGTACCCAGTGCATGTGTAAACAAAACAAATGAACAAATAAATAAATAAATAAATAATAAATAAAACAAACAAATAAATAAATAAAAAACATGCCTCTAAAAAAAAAAAAAAGTATTCTGTAGGTACATGTTTGCCCTACCATAAGTTGGATTTCTCTAATAGCAAGGTTATTTCTGGAGATGACCCTAAATCTGGGTCGTTAAGGGAGTGGCAAAAAGTTTCTCTTAGACACTTGGAGACCCACATGGCCTCCATTGAACTTAGCACAAAATAATCCGCATGCCTTGGTGACACTTCTTGGAAAAGTCTGATCAGGACATCTTGCGTAGGCCCATCTGAATCTCGGGGAAGCCTGTCCTTCAGTTAGGGTAGATTCAGCTATGGCGTAGTAACAAACAAATCTATGTATCTCAATGACAACGCAGAAAATGCCTTCCTTGCTCATAACACAGTTTGATGCAGGTCAGGGGAGGCAGGGCCTTAGTCCATTCAAGCTGCTATAACAGAATACCATAGGCTGGATGGTTTGTAAAGAGCAAGCATGTATTTCCTGCGTAAGGTTGGGAAGAGCGAGATCACAGTGCCAGCAGATTTGGTATGGTGGCTGGTGAGGGCCACCTTGGTTCCTGGCTGTATCCTTGAAAGGTGGAAGGATCAGGGAACTATCTGGGTCTCTCTTTTTTTTTTTTTTTTTTTAATAGAGGCATGCTTTTATTTATTTGTTTGTTTGTTTGTTTTGTTTATACATGCACTGGGTACAGTCAGAAGCGCGGGAGGATGAGAGAATTCACCAGAGCCAGAGCGGGGAGCAGAGCAGGCAGAAGGACCGAAGTACACTGCTGAGGGGAGCAGCGGGCGGCAGGAGAGGTCTGCACGCCATGTGGGACCCTCCTCCAGTGGCCGGGGAGCAGCCAGGGATCGAACCGTATCTGTGTCTCTCTTATAAGAGCAATAAGATTCCACCCTCCTGACCTAATCACCTTCCAAAGGTCCAAAGGTCCCATACCTCCTAAAGCCATGAGATCAAGCACTAGGATTCCAACAGGTGCTATAGAGCAGGGGACACAGAATATTTGGAACAAAGCAGAGGCTAAGGATCACAGACTCCTTTTGTGATGTAGCTCTGCCATCTTCAACACCAGGGAGGACTCAGATGCAGGGGATGCAAGTTCAGTCAGTCTAACCCGGAAACTTGTCACTGAGAATCTTGCATTGGTGACCCTTCAAGTCACAGATGAGACACCAGTCAGCCCTCAGCACGCTGCTAGGACCTAGACAGGGAGTCACATGGATGCTTGTGAGTTGCATAACAGATGTTGGGAGCCACTTAATTGGATTTGGGACCCAGAGGCCTGGTCTTGTGTCTGGAGAGATGTGTGGATGAGGGTGTCTCCAAGCAAGGAATACGGCATCAGAAATCTTGGGTTCATGTAATGACTTATCTCTGACTAATTGTTTTAACTAAGACAAGTCATTTCTCTGAGCTTCTGTAAAAAAGGACATTCTATGCACTACATGAGGTCATATGAAGACTTAAGGGAGATGATATTCGGGAAGATGCATTAAAAGCCATTAGACACAAGGCAAATACTACTCAATATGACTCATCCTGCCTTGCTGAGCTCTCCCCCACTAGACCAACTTCCCTTCTGCTGGAAAGGCAGGGAGAATAGGTTGCTGCAGTTCCTTCCAGCTGGGTGGGGTTCCAGCTAGACAACACCCTCCCTCAGTAAGTCCTCGGAGACCCCCAAGTCCTGCGCCTGCCAGTCCCAACGCCTGTAGTTCATGTGTTCTCCAGATGACAGTGGAAGGACTTGGAGAAATACTTTCAGAAACACCCACGAAGTCTGGACCCTGTCTCCCCACCCCCATGGTACAATGCCATGGGGGCTAGGATTTCTGTGGCTCACATCCACACCCGAGTTAGGATTTCTCTGCATCATGTATTTTGTCTCCAGCTTGCTGACTGCAGTGTCTGCTGCTCATCCATCCGTTTAACAAAATTCCTTCCAATGTCTGGGGGGAACCAGCTGAAGATCAGGAATTTGGGGCCACTCTGTTTCTGGCTTCAGTCAGTTGGGGAACATGAGCTGAAACTTGCCTCTCTGGGTTTACGTGCATAAATGCAGCTGGACACAGTGACTGTTCCTGTAATTCTGAGATGGGGGTGTGGGGTGGAAAAGAAGCAGCAGGTGGAGGCCCAGCTGGCTGAGCCTGCAGGGGTGCTCCCAGGCTGCTCTTCCCTCCATGGCTTTGCCAGCATCTCCCCATCCATGCCTCCAGTCTCTCCTCCTGCCAGGACAGACGCCAGGTGACAATCTGTTCACAGGATCATCTCAGGCAGGAGAGACTAGGCAGAGGGCCAAGACCCCAGTTGCCGGATCTCTTAAATTGAAGTCTCATCTTCATCCAGTCCACAGGTCCCCATAATGGAACCCCTTGGTTCACCTCCCCAAAGCCCCCTCGGGGCCACATTCAAGAACTGTTTCAATAACTTACTGGGAAGCTGATATTCAAGCACACAGGTTTTATTTCTCATACAATGTGCTCATTAATCCTTTACAGCTTAATAGCCTAGAAGTCTTCCTAGCAGGACTTTCCTGTGCCCTGGAAGGGGCAATCTGCCCTCAGGCCCCTATGGGGGCCTGTACCCAGGTCTCCTGCTAAATGGGAACCGAGTGATCTTCTCAGAGGCTCCGGTGAGAAAGGAGATATTTGTTCCCTTGTCATCCCTTGTAAAACTTTCACAGAATCTGTTATGAGCGCTGTCTGCTTTAACTCAGAATGCGATGAAAGGTGTTGTTCTTTGGCATTTAACCCATTGCTGGGATGGCCTTCCCCAGAGAACATGAGCTCTCTGACCAGGCCTGACAAAGAGCACACCCAAGAGGGGCCACCTACTGACCCCCCATGAGAGGTGCACGGTGGATGTCCTGGGGCTGCAGTAGATGGGGCAGCCGCCCCTGTTCTGCTGGGCAGCTTTGGAAAAAGTCACAGGAGCAAGTTTCTCTGCTGGGGGTTAGACTGCAGTCCACCACACCCAGCCTCTTTGGATTGTCCCTGGGGTACCCCTTTCTTTTTCTTCCAGTTCCTCATCAGTGCTGCCCCCTGAATAGCAAAGTCACTTGTCCCGGCCTGCCCACATCTGTGAAAGGACAGGCTCTGTCCACCAAGGGGAGACTTCCAGAATGGCACCTACTCAGCCTTCCTACAATCCTGGAGAAATAAGCCAGGGTGGGGAGGGTGGGGAAGGTGGGGCCTCACTCTTGGTGGTAGGCCCTGGGGTCAAGTTGATTTGAGAAGGTAGCAAACAGAAACAGGCCCTAAGCTCTATTCACTGCTCCCAAATCCTGTCTTCCAGCCCCAGGAGGCTTCCCCATGTTCCTGGGGCTACCTTGATTCTCTAGCTCAGCCTGGCACCCAGATGAACTAGGGCAGTGTAGTTCAGGGGTTGCCTTCAGAACACCCCAGCCCCACCCTTCCCCTACTTCCTTCCCTCCTACTCACATCTCCCCCTCCCTCTAGTGTCTCCTGGGCTCTATTACTCTTCCTGGAGAAGGGGCTCTCGGTCCCCTTCCTGGACCCTCTCATCCTCCTCCTTCTCCATGCAGCCCACTGTAGCCGCCAACCCAGCACCCACACCTCCCCCTACCACTGCGGCCCCCGTGGCCCCCACCGCAGCGCCAGCTGCCACCATCCCAGCCTCTGCAGCCAGTGCTGCTGCTGCCATGCCCGCACCCACCACACCACCGGCCAGGCCCATGAGGCCGGCCCCCACGGCACCCCCCACAGCAGCCAGGTGGCCACAAAAGCGCATGGTGTAGGAGTCCATGAAGACCTTGGCCTCGGCCTGCAGCTCAGCCTCCAGGGCCTCCAAGGTCTGCTCTCTCCCCTTGCACAGCAACGCCACACCGTGGCGAGCCAGGATGGCGTCCTTCTGGGTGGAAAGCAGGTTCCTCATGGTGTCGGGCAGGACCCGGAGTGCAGAGAATATGCGCTTGGTGGCCACATCCTGGGACAGGGAGGAGAGACACGCACGCTTGCTCGAGCCCAGAACCTCCCTCCCAGCACTTGGCCTCCCTCCCTGGCCCCAGGTCACCTGCTGCCGCACATACTCCTCAAATTCCTTCTTGGCAGCTTCCACAGTCCTCAGGTCGTGCAGCTGGGCCGCCATCTGTCCATGGGAAAACCCAGGCTGCCTCCCTCCTTCCTCCTGGGCCCGGTGCTGCCTGGTTCTTTGTCTCCATCCCAGGGTAAAAACCGACCCGCCTCCCTCCCAGGCCCCTGGATCCTCCCAGGGAGCTCCGTACCTCCTCCGGAGAGGCGAAACCGGGCCCGGTCCTCCCCATCCAGCCCGAGAGGTTCTGCAGGGACATCGTGGGAAGGGGTTAAGGGGGGCAGGGCCTCAGCCAGGCTCTCAGGGTTCCCCCGGTCAGCTGGTTTCCCCACCTTGATCTCCTGAGCTAACTGTTGCCCTGTGAGCAGGCGTCTGTCCCCCCTGGCTGCGGGGCGCCCCTCACTCCAGTACCCCTGGCAGCGACTCTTGGCGTACTGGGGGGCTGCACTCAGCACATCCGCGATGTAGGCATGAAGATGGCGAAAATCATCATCTGTGTCTGAGGAAGAGATTCCTCATGCTGAGGAGGCCAGGGGTTGAGCAGGCCCGGGCTTTGGGAGGAGAAAGGGTGTCAGAGGTTGGGAGAAGCTGGCCACAGCATGGGGGCTCCGGTCGCTGGGGGCAAGCTGGGGTGCCTTTGCCCCTGGGGACTCACCGCCCAGGCCCCCAGGGCTCTTGCTGGCCCACCGCCTCCCGGGAGCCGGCAGGAGGTAGCAGCGGGCTCGCTTCCCTTGGAGCAGCTCCTGAACCTTGGGGTATTTGCTGGAGGATTTCTGAGAGATGCATGGAGGAGAACTCTGAGCCAGAGGAGCCAGCCTTCCATGCTTAGCCACCTACAGGACCCCGGGCTCCCCTCAACTTCTTCCCCGCCCACCCACTCCCCATCGCAGCATGTGGTGCCACTCACCTGGATGATGTCACCCACGTGTCCCTGCCCTGCCTTGCTAGCGGGGGATGAGTCACGAACTAAGAGATCCAGGTGCTGGAAAAGAAGGGATCCTGACACCAGCAACCAGGGGTGTCGGGGTCTGGGGATGACAAGTCCAGAAACCGTGTCTCACCTGGATTGGCACCATCCCATAATGCCTGCCCATCACCTCAGCCACATGGACAAACATCTAGGGGCAGAGCACAGAGGGTCACAGGTGGTCACTCCAAGGGCAATGCCTCTCCATGCCCCTCCCCACTCCCCCCCATGTGGGAACCACGCTCCCAGCTCTAGGATCTCCTGCCGCTCCCCAAAACAGGTATCCTGAGGTTCACACGCCTCCATCAAACCCAACACTCAGCTCCAGGTTATGAAATCCTAGGCCAGAACTGGAAGGCACCTGAATCCAGCTGGTCCAGCCCCCTGGCCTTATGGTCAGGGCAGGCAGGGGGTGGCACCCCCAAGATCAGATGTCTCCTCACCTCCAGGTATTCCAGGTCCGTGTCCTTCAGCTCCTGAGAGGTGTTAAGGATCTGTGAGCAAGGAGGAAAACAAGGTAGAAGAGGGTCTGCGGAGGCAAAAAGTTGCTGGGCAGACCCCAGTGAGGCGAGGGCTGCAGGCCAAGTGTAGGGTCTGGCTGGGAGCCACCAGCAGGGGCCCCCACAGCAGGTGGGCTGGCGGGCCTTGGGGGATGAATGTCGGGCTGGAGAATGGTCCTGCACATCTCCAGCTGCTCCCAGGACCTTCTACCCACCTTAGAACAACTATGACCCTATCTTTATTGACTAGGGGCATCTCCCCTTGGCAAGGGCACCCTCACAAACTGTGGAGATCCCAGCACAAAGGTCTGTGAGGTATGGTGACTGTTCCTAGCAGCTCCTCCAGCCACGAGGGCCACTCACCTGGTAGGAGCTCAACATCATGCTCAGAGCACAGAGCTTGGTCCTTGTTTCCCTGCTCAGCTCGGGGCTCATGGTGTCCCCGGTGTCCACCAGGAACACGGCCACCTGTGCAGGGGGGTGGAGGACACAGTGAGGGGTCAGGCCTGCCGTGTGCCTCCAGCGCTTCCCCCCACCCTCTCTGCCCACCCCAAAGCTTCCTTCTCCATTGCCCCCTCTTTGTCCATCTCTGTTCTCTCTACCGCCCCCTCCCTGACCCAGTCTTGGCCTCCTCTGCTCTTTCTCCCCTCACCTTCCTCCCCTCCTTCCCCAGCAGGAAAGGGTGGCTCCACATCCAGATGCCCCTTGTGAGGCTGTTGGCACCCCATCTGAACCCCTGCAGGTTCTCCCCTCCTCTGGCCCAGGCACCCTCGCCAGATTCCTGCAGGCAGAAAAAGAGAGCACCCATAGGTCCAGCCAGCCACTCCTCCCCTCCCCAAGCCAGGCTGGCTCCCCTACCCTGCACCCACCACCCCACCACCCTGCCTCAGCCCCACCCTCACCATGCCTGGCAGACCCCGGAGCAACTGGTTGAGGAGGAAGGTCTTCCCTGAGTGCTGTTCCCCCAGAACAGCAAGGAGGCAGACAGGGGTGTCCCTGGCCAGGGGGTGCTTGAGGCAGCGGTTGATGGCCCCCATCCTCAGGATGAGGCCTCCGGAGGCATTGATTCGTACCAGGAGCAGTGGTTCAGCCCTCACAGCACAGGTCTCCTGAGTCAGGAGAAAGAGGGGTTCTCTGGGTTCTGTGGGAGTTGTGGTCCCCAAGTCTGGAGTGCATCCAGCCCTGACCTCCACAGCCACCCCGCTATTACAGAATGGGCCACAGCTACCTGCCCCTTGGAGGGAACCCAGAGCCCTGAAGTGAGGCCCCACCTGCAGCACAGGGGGCAGTGGTCTCTGCGGCAGCAGCTTCATCTTCTCCCCCAGACCCCGGAGGCCCTTCTTCTGCTTGCAAATCTTCCGGCACTCAGGGCAGCAGGGCAGCTCGCAGCCGAGGATGCGGTGTGTGCTGAAGCACCGAGCGCAGAAGTCATGGCCACAGTCCAGCGAGATGGGCTCCCGCAGCCGCTCCAGGCAGATGGAGCAGGAGGGAAGCTCCCGGGGCGCTGTGGGCCTGGACCCCAGGCCCAGCTCCAACTTGGGGAATGGTGTGTGGGACCTGGGGGACAGAGTGGGCCATTGGAGAGCACCTTGCTTGGGGCAAAGGGATACGGCTCAGGCATTGGGGGTGGGTGTAAGCTGCTCCCAGGGAAGCCAAGCTCTGCCCATTCTTCACTGACTTGCACCCCAGCACCTGCAGACCCAGAGTCGGGCAGTGAGCAGCGATAAGACAGCCTGCTGGAGAGGGAGACCCCCTGGAAGGAACCCTGGATCGGCCACAGGGCAGTCATACAACGCAGACAAGTTTTTTCCCTGGGCTGAACCTCCATTTCCTAATTGTCCAAGTGGAAATGTTGGCAGACCTGTCTCCTGGGGCCATTGGGGTGGTCAGACACTCTGCCCAGTGCTTGGCAAAAATGCCAAAAGACCCTTTCTCACAGCCTTCTGCTGCAGGGGCCCCCTAAAGGAACTGCTGACTTCTGCAGGACCCCCAAAGGAGTGATCCCCTCTACAACCTCCCTGCAGCAGCTAAAACATGCTCATGCTGTGTGGGCCATAAAGAAAAGGTGGGAGCCTCCTGGTTGGGGGGGCAGATGGCTCTGGCTCTTAGACGCTTCCCTCTGCTCTCCTGCTCCAAGCTGGAGTCCCTCCTCCACGGAGCCAGCCTGGAGCTCCCTCCCTGGACAGCCCTCCAGCCCGGCCAGGCCTCGGAGTTTCTGGGCCAGCCGACTGACCCACTGCACCAATCCCGAGGGCTCGCCTGCCGCTTACCAACTGTTGCTGCTGTTTCCCATGAATCTCTGTTTTCTCTCCTTGGAAGAGAAAATTAGGGGAGGGGGCACAAAAAAGGGGTATTTAGAAGAGAATCCAGACTCTTCATTATGGGTTCCAGTGGCCCTTCACGCTCCCTCCTCAGACCCATCCCCCCTTTCCCGGGTGGCCCCTTCCCCCACGCCCCAACCCGCCCTCCTGGATCTCAGGATTGAAGACTTGCCTGTTTGCCAAGCCGGTGACAGAAGGAAATCACTGACAAGGCTGACCTCGGCATGAGCAGCTGGGCTGGGGGACAGGGTCCGAAGCAGAGAGCCTAGCCCGGGAGACCTGCGGGTGGCGGTAAGGATGGCTTTTCTGAGGGAAGCTGCTGCAGGTGGCGGGTGGTGAAGGGGATGGTCTCCCCAGAGGAGCCGACCCTGTCAGAGCTGGAAAATAAATGTGACAGTCAGAAAGAGAGAGCTGCCTCCAGACTCACCCAGGGGGAGGAGACAGGACTGCGGGAACCGAGGCTCAGGAGGAGGGAGGGATGGAGCCAGGCTCAGAATCCCTGGCAGAGGCTGGGATGCAGGCAAGCTGGGGTGGTGAGTCGCCATGGAGACGGAAGGGAAAGATAAGGACAGGGAGGGGGAGGGGGGATGGAGAGAGAAGCATATGGGTGCACCGGCAAAGATTGCACCGTGGGCAGGAACTGTCCCTGCTGGCCCAAGAGTGGTCCTTCAGGGCCACCAGGCAGGCAGATGAGTGGGAAAAGGGAGCGAGCACGAGACAGAGAGCCCGCCCCCATTCATCGAATGACTAGCGAGCACCTACTGTGTGTGGGGTTGGGGGCATTGGGAGTGGATAATGCTGCCATACTGCAAGGGGCGTGAGTACATCAAGTCCCAGAACCCAAGGGTCCCTCCCCTCCCTACTCCCCTCCCCACTCCCCTCCCCACTCCCTTCCCCACTCCCCTCCCCTTTCCCCTCCCCCCATTTGGCCCCTCTGACTGGCTTCCCTTTCCAATGGCCTTTACTCTGCCTCAAGCTTGTGACAGTCACCTCTGGACCTTCTAACTGCCCCTTGACTGGGCTCCCCCATTAGGCCCCAGTACACGGCCAGCACAAACTCCCCCAGCACAGCAGACCCCATGCTGTTCAAACACCTTTCATGGCTCCTCCCGACCATCAGATCAAACTGCCTGATCTGCATCCACAGGCCTGCACCTTCCTCCCCAACCTTCCCTCTCCCCCACCCTTCTCTGCCTCTGCATGATGCTCCCCAGAGCTCCCTCTGCCTGCAGCAGGGTTCTTTGCATGCCTCCTGAGAGACCCCCCTCCCACCCCTCGAGGGCCCAGCTCATATGCCACCCTCCTTGGAGCCTCCTACCTTACCCACCGGACTGGACAGGATCTGCCCTCGGGGGCCTGGGACTGGTGGCCCGTGACTTGTGGTGGGCTCCAAGTGGCCCAGGCTGAGAGCCATGCTAATTCTGCTCTATTCCCGCTGACCATGTGAGACAGGGGTCCTGGTTGCATCCCCTCCCTCTCCAAGCTCTGAGGGTTACAATCATGTACAGAAGTCACTTGTCCAGACAGAGGTATTTTTAAACCCTAGGAGCTAGGTAGGGAACAGCAGGGTGGCGGCCATGCTGTTGCTGTATCCTGGAGCAGTACAGTTGAGACTTTGAACTTCTCAGTGGGCAGGGATGCCCCTGCAACTGGGATTGCATCTGTGCACCCTGGTCTTTTGCACGGAGGGCCTCTGTTCGTAGGGCTGAATCAAGCCAGAGAAACAGCACAGTGGACTCAAACCCCCCATGTGTTGGCAGTGAAGCCTCACTCAGGAGAGAAGCAGCCTGAATGGCATCCTCTGCTCTTCTTAGCCACAGAGTAGGGTTTTTTCAAATGAAGTGTTTGATTCCCTCACAGAGAGATGCAGGTGAGACACCAAGCACTGGAGTCAGGCGGAAGCACTGTACCCTCCTTGGCCCTAGCAGGAGACCCTGGTCAGTTGCTAAGCTCTGAGGGCCTATTTTCTTCCCTTCCTTTTTTTTATTTTTGTGCAGAAGAACTAGGGTGTAGGGCAGAGGTGCAGGGGTGAGAGGACTCATCAGACAGTGTGGAGCAGAACAGGCAGAGCTACTGAAATAGCTGAGGGGAGCAGCAGGCGAGGCAGGAGAGCTCTGCTGTGCCATGTGGGTCAGCTTCCTGGCTGGGGATGGAACTCAGGCCATAGAGGTGATTATCTTGAGACTTAAACCCTAGGCCACCAGGGACACCCCAGGGACCTGTTTTCTTATCACCAGGCAAAGTTATGGGAAAGCAGGTAGCGTGAGCCACAGTCCTGGGCACCTGGCCCTTGAGGTGTCCCTGGGAATGGAAGACCCTTTGCTCCCAAGTTCCCCTCTTGGGGGGACATGGATCAATGAGGAAACATACCCCATCTGGGGTAGCAGGGCAATCCCCATGGGGGTAGAAGAGCAAACCAGAAGGAATTTCAGTGCAAAAGTCCTATTCATGTGGGATCTTCAAAGGAGGGGACTCAGTTTCATCAGTAAATATCAGGCCCCCCACCACCCCCTGCAGTGCAGACAGGAGTCATAGAAACATCACACTTAGGGACAGCTAGGTAATTTGCAAACTTAGTGCAAAATGAAATTGCAGAGCCTTTGCCAGAGGTGAGAAGGTCAGCCCCCTGCCCACGGGCCCACCGCCTCCACCAAGGCCAACAGGTGACCCCAAGGGATGCTACCCTTGCACTGGGGTGTGCTCAGTACTTAGATTGGCAGTGAGTTGAGTTTTAGCCCCAGGAGGGAAAAGCTGCCGCTCACCTGTCCCACCCCAAGAGGCCATGGGCCAATCTGTGGTTCCCCAATTCTCCATGAGCCTATGTTCAGGCTTCTGGATGGTGGAGGTGCCATGAGGTGGGACTGGGCAGCAAGAAACCATTCTGGGGAGGCAGTGGGAGGTTGTGTCCCTGGAGCTCAGGTGCAAGGGAGGAGGGCATATGGAAGTCACTGGAGGGGCTCTGTTGAGTGGGAGCTCAAGACCCAGCACATACCCCACTTCCCAACAGTCTTCTCTTACCAAACACAAATTGAAAGCTGAAACTAATAAGAGGCTCCAGATGGTGACCGCAGAGCACAGACATGGGCACCATGCCCTTCTGAGGGCTGGCCCTCAACCACAACCAGCTTTGGTCACTGGGGCTGCCACACAAACAACAGACAAGAAGGGCAGGGCTGGAGGTGGCAGGGTGGAGACCTCACCCAACCCTGGGAACCTGAGAGAGGTCACCTATGAGAGCCACTCTGGGGACTAGCCATATAGAAGTGAGGGTGGAAGAAACGCTGTGCTTCTCAGGCGAGAGCTCCAGCTCGTGGAAAAGGCCCAGGCCTTGCTCATTTGCTCTCAAAAGGCTCTGCTGGTATCTGGGCCTGTGAGCACTTGTACAGTCTCTGAGGATGCTTGAAAACTCACGGGGAAATGAGCATCTCCAGACTACAGAGAAAACTTCAAAATCAGAATCCACGCCTGCTCAGTTCAGTGTCTGCCGCCCCTCGCATCATATCAGCTGGGAAACTCCACTCACATCACTATCTGTGGAGTCAGATTCAAATCACATGAGTGCTACATACTCAACATGTGTTTATAGGGCACCTACTAAGTGCTGAGCACTGGGTTAGGGTCTGGGAAGCCAGTGGTGCCCAAAACAACATGTGTTCATACACAATAGCAAATAATTTGTTCTCATCAAAATGCAAATGTAAGCAAATCCTTTTCAAAATATTCATGGTAAAAAGATTCAATTCTGTGTGGGCTGTGGGTAACATTTGTTTTGACATATTTACCCTGATGTGTAAGGAAGCTTCCCAAAGGTCAAAGGGCAGGGCATGCTGCTCAGCCTTGCAAAGGAAGGAGGCCTGTCCTGATGGCACAAGGAGTTAAGCACTGCACTATGAAGCAATCCGCAGCTTCTGCAGCACGAGTTCGATCCCCAGCTGGCCAGGGAGAAACCCACATGGTGCAGCAGACCTCTCCTGTCTTGCCCGCTGCTCCCTTCAGCAGTTTCAGTCAATCTGCCTGTTCTGTTCCCCACTCTGTCTCTGGTGAATCCTCTCATGCCCGCATCTCTGGCCTGTACCCCAGCTCTTGTATGCACAAATAAATAAATCTTTAAAAAAAAAAGACCCTGCTCTGCCTGGCTCCTTGTTTTCTACCTTGGGTGAGGACACCACACAGGTTCCCCATGGTGCCCGCCCATTTAAAGGACTCAGGGACAAGGAAGAATCCATGAGCCAGGCCTGGCTAGCTAATAGCAAATAAAGGTCAAAATAAGGCTGAGTGCAGTGTGGAATAAGGTCGAATATGTGTGGAATCCCTGCTTTTGTGGAGAGAAAGCAAGGTTTGACTTCCTGGGCAGTCTCTCCCTCGGGCCATCTGTCCCCTCTTGTCTCAGGCAGCCCAGCCCTGCCCTAGACAGGCCCTAGGACTGAAAGGCCCGTCCTGCACTGCAGCCCAGATGCCTGAACCCTGGTGACTGGGGAGAGCTGCTGTCAGCAGTCGGGCTCCTGACAAACCAAGCTATGTCTCCCCATCCACAGTGGCCGTGGTTATTAGAGTTCAGAACTGGGGTGAACTGAGGCCAGTCCCTGAGCTCTATAGCCAGGAGGAGACAGGTCAGATGCTAAAGGGGCCAGATCCACGTGTGGCTGCTCATGACCATGACCCTTTATCTGGCTCCTCCCTAATCCTACTTGCCAGCTTCCAGGGACTTCCCATTGCTGCTAAAGTCAACAGCTCGAGGAAAGTCCAGGCTCCCCAGCTTCCTTTTAAAAGTTGCCCACCATCAGCTCAATCCCAGGCTTCCTGAAATAATGGTTCATAATAATGAAACAACCATTCAACATGTGTGCAGCATTGTAAGCTCCATACTATGTTGCCACATGAGCTCATGACAACAGTGACTATTAGTCCCATTCCTTGAACAGGGAAACTGAGGCTCGGAAAGCTGAGGAGATCTTCTAGCACAGCCCTGGAAGGAGGAA